AAAAACTAGTGAAAAATTTATAATAAATTGTGAAAAAGTGTCGAAAATATGCGCAAAAGATATAAAAACTTCGTTAAGCAATAGAAATACGAAAAAGTGCTGTGTAAAATGGAGAAAACAATTGCAATTGGAGCCGGCGTGTCTTCGCTGGCTACACAATCAGTAGGGGGAGCGCCTGCTAGCACAGCGGTAACGTCGGCATCGGCTGTAGTTGGCGTTAGCAGTGTCGCTGGCACCGGCAGCGTCTTCCTCCAACACCAGCAACCATTGGCAAAGAGCAATAATATTGGTGGCAGCAACAATAACAATGGCCATAATACGAACACTAATAGTAGCTCAACACCCACGGTGACAAGCAGCAGCAGCACGGGCACCAACACGGAAGCAATCGAATGTGTAACGCTGATAAGCGATGATTCGGATGTGGAGGAAATGTCGCCAAAGCGTAAGGCTCCTACGAGCGTTGGTGGCAGTGGAACGCCTAGCAAAATAAAGTACGATGATGACTCCAACGATGCACAAGGCGGCGCAGCGGGCGATGAGCGTCGCACCAGCAGGCGAAACAAACCAAAGGTATAACCATGAGGTTGTCATGCGTGTTTCCCCTTATTATACATATATGCATTTTTANCCTAGCAAAATAAAGTACGATGATGACTCCAACGATGCACAAGGCGGCGCTGCGGGCGATGAGCGTCGCACCAGCAGGCGAAACAAACCAAAGGTATAACCATGAGGTTGTCATGCGTGTTTCCCCTTGTTTAAAAGCGATTTTACATTGCTTGCGGATTATCGTTTAACATTATACATATATGCATTTTTGATTACAGGTTGATTACTACAACAAGCCAACGGGTGGTAATACGGACTCTGGTGATAAACCGAGCACTCCTTCGAGCTCATCTGCCACTGGTGGTGTTGAAAGGCGTTCAGAAAGCAGCAAAACGCGCAAAACAGAAACAACGCGCAGTCCATTTCCCAAGGAAATCACAGATCCCCGTGAGGCAGCAGCAGCCGCTGCAGAAGCTTATAAAGAAATTTTGACAGGCTTAGAAGGTGCAGCATTTCAGTCCCGTCTACCATTCGATAAGATGACATCAAATGAGGCCGCCTGTTTTCCTGACATCACCAAGACCGGCTTGGTGGCACAACGTGTTTTTCTAAACATACGCAACCGCCTTTTGCAAATGTGGATCGAGAATCCAAAGCAGCAGCTTATTGTGGAAAATGCTATAAGAGATATGGAGCCACCATTCGACAGCGATCCAAACCTANTGTTTTCCTGACATCACCAAGACCGGCTTGGTGGCACAACGTGTTTTTCTGAACATTCGCAACCGCCTTTTGCAAATGTGGATCGAGAATCCAAAGCAGCAGCTTATTGTAGAAAACGCTATAAGAGATATGGAGCCACCATTCGACAGCGATCCGAACCTGNTAAAGAAATTTTGACAGGCTTAGAAGGTGCAGCATTTCAGTCCCGTCTACCATTCGATAAGATGACATCAAATGAGGCCGCCTGTTTTCCTGACATCACCAAGACCGGCTTGGTGGCACAACGTGTTTTTCTGAACATTCGCAACCGCCTTTTGCAAATGTGGATCGAGAATCCAAAGCAGCAGCTTATTGTAGAAAACGCTATAAGAGATATGGAGCCACCATTCGACAGCGATCCAAACCTGGTGAAGCGCGTACACTCGTTCCTGGAGCGGCATGGTTTTATTAACTTTGGCATTTTTAAACGTTTGCGCCCCATACCTACCAAGAAGTTGGGCAAAGTTATAGTAATTGGAGCAGGCATCTCAGGGTTAGCGGCTGCTCAGCAGCTACAGCAATTCGGCATGGATGTCATTGTGTTAGAAGCGCGTGATCGGGTTGGTGGACGTATTGCTACTTTTCGCAAGAATAACTATATTGCTGATTTGGGCGCTATGGTAGTAACAGGTGTTTGGGGCAATCCAATGACTATACTTAGCAAACAAATCGGCATGGAGATGGTACCAATTAGGCAAGCATGTCCGCTGTATGGAGCTTGCGGAAAACCTGTGCCCAAGCATAAAGACGATATGGTGTGCAATAATAATACATACTAAGTATAATTTATCTTATAAATATTATTCTTTTTCAGGTTGAGCGTGAATTCAATCGACTTCTGGAGTCCGCCAGTTATCTGTCTCATCAGCTGGATTTTAACTATGCCAACGATGACCCTATATCATTGGGTCGTGCACTTGAATGGATCATTAAGTTGCAAGAGAAGGCGGTAAAAGAAAAGCACGTGCAACACCTGACGATGCTCGCTGAAGCACAACGTGCGGTCATCGCATGCCAGACCCATGTTTCGGAATTATTAGCCAAAATACAAAAGTACAAGGATACACATGCAAAACTTATAAAATCACGACCACAACGCAGTGGAGATGGTGATGCGCTATGGGTTGAACATGAGTTTGAAATACGTTCCACTCATTTTGAGTGGACCAAAGCTTGTAAGGAGTATGATGAACTTATCAAAGAAGAAGAGGTACTGCAAGCTAAATTGAAGGAAATTGAGAGCAACCCTCCTAGGTGTGTACAATAAAATATATTTTGTCTTTTGCCAGCTAATGTTCTTATTCCTCTTCCTAGTGATGTATACCTCTCGTCTAAGGATCGTCAAATACTCGACTGGCACTTTGCGAATCTGGAATTCGCCAATGCCACACCACTCAGTAATCTATCCCTTAAGCATTGGGATCAAGATGATGATTTCGAGTTTATCGGCAATCACACAACAGTACGCAATGGTTACTCTTGCGTACCAATAGCTTTGACAGAAGGTTTAGATATACGCGTAAATACCGCCGTAAAGACGATCAAATATTTCCCTACTGGCGTGGAAATTGTAACTGAAAACTTGAAGACAAACAATTCCTCCGTTACATACAAGGCAGACATCGCGCTCTGCACCCTAACGCTAGGTGTGCTAAAGATAGCCACCACCAAAGTGCAATCACAACAAGTAAATACCGTAAAGTTTGAGCCACCATTGCCCGATTGGAAGCAATCAGCTATACAGCGATTAGGTTTTGGCAATTTGAATAAAGTTGTGCTCTGCTTCGACCGCATCTTCTGGGATCCGAATACAAATTTGTTTGGTCATGTAGGCAGCACAACTGCTAGTCGCGGTAGTTTTTAAATTATATAATTTTTTGTGGTCACTTCGTTACTCATTGCTTTTCCAGGTGAACTCTTTCTGTTCTGGAGCATTTCGCAATCGCCGGTGTTGCTCGCCTTGGTAGCTGGTCAATCGGCCGCTATAATGGAGAATGTATCGGACGATGTTATCGTCGGTCGCTGCATTGCTGTGTTGAAAGGTATTTTCGGCAATGGTTCCGTACCTCAGCCCAAAGAAACTGTGGTTACACGTTGGCGAGCAGATGCCTGGGCACGTGGCTCCTATAGCTTTGTATCGGTTGGGTCCTCTGGCAGTGATTATGATTTGCTCGCTTCACCAGTCATACCACCGAATCCGGCAAACACGAATGCCAATCAGGAGCAAGACGAACTTCCACGTTTATTCTTCGCAGGCGAGCACACCATACGCAACTATCCCGCCACAGTGCATGGTGCCTTCTTGAGTGGACTTCGTGAAGCGGGTCGCATTGCAGACTATTATTTGGGTTACCCAGAGGGCACACCCCCCGACATCGGTTACTCAGTTGTTGAAGCGGCCAATACAGCATCTGTGGGTGGCAATGTGGATATTGTTGATATAGCCCATTCAACAGACTCATCCTCAAAGACTTCTGAAGAGAAATCGAACACTGCCGACTCTAATGAATAAAACTATTGTAATAAGAAAGCATTAGCAATGTAAATGTGTGTCTGCGTGCGACCGTGCGAAGTAGCGCATTTTTGCTAACCTACATTCATTACACAGCTTGATTTTTTACATCAATATCATATGTGTATATGTATGTCTTTTAATATAGTTATAGTTATATTTTAACGCATTAATTTAAACCATTGAATACATAGTTAGAATCACCCACGCACGGTTTGTGGGAAGTCAATTTTTATACAATTAACTATGAATTAAAGGTAAATGATATACATACTATTTGGCTGTCCATTTTATTTTCTTGAATTCAACCCCGACTACAGCAGTTTATAAAAAGATTTTAGACAAATATAAATAAATATTGGACAACATATCAAATTAATATTAGCTGTTTATTCGTTGCATAACTGTTAATGTCAGACGCATATGGAAATTCCCGCAGCCGTGTGTGAGCTATTGCTACTTGGAGCTCACAAGCCCAACATTTTTATTTATATTTTAGTTTTGAATCGCAATTACACATATTCTCTATTCCCTAATCTTTATTACACACATTCTCTTATCATTAATGCATTTAAATAATACATACTAATTATAAACCTAAACTTTTTAAAAACAATGAATTCCACCTAATTCAAATCCCCAAAAATTACATTCTAATTTCTGAAAGTATTTTCTGTATTTTCGAAAAACGACATGAGTTGGAGGTAGCAAATCAACCAAAACCAAGGTTTGGTCGTCGTTGTCATACCAATGTAATTTTACACGGATTGTTTCTAAGTTGATATGTAGCGTAACTTTCCTTCTATGACTTTCGTTAATCAGATAATGCGTCGGACCTTGCTTAATTTAGAACAGTAGCAAATGTGTTTGTTCAAGAAGATACCAGAGGAATATTATTTATTATTTTCCAAGTTCAAATACTACTGCAATCTCACCCACGTTGCAACCACGGTTATTATTTCAGCATGCGTTGAAATAAAAAAGATGAAGCACTCTCAACTCCATGCTGACATTGTAAAACGTCCTTTTTGTAACGAAAATGTTTGTTTTCTTTTTTCCCGATAACATGATTGGCCACCGATTTAGTCGTTGTCGTAAAACTCAACCAACGGGAGGGCCAAGAAGTGTGCCACGTCGGAAGGTGCCTCTGCTAAACTGGTTTATCTCCTCTTTAAAGGACTTTATTGGACTCAGCATACGGTGTGGAATATGTGGTTGGAGAAATACTTCATTGCTTAGTTATGTTGTTGATCCCAGTAGTGTCTCGCCGCAAGCCCCATCCAAACAAAATTTTCAATATATCGCACATTTGCGTCCTTGCCCTGACGTATGAGGACGAGACATCCAAGGATCACTTTTAAATATGAGAGCTTGGAGTGCACCTACGAGTGTGGTTCCTGTTGCCATAACAAAATCTCGCTAGACAATTTCAATGCCAGGGAAGGGATATTTGCCGCCAATGTCGGAAAATACATTCTATGTGATGAAATAATCGACTGAGGCTGATCGACTTCGTCGGGGACCGAAAAATGGTAGTCTGCGGCACTGGATTTCAGCTAAATTCAGCGACTTATCCTTATTAATATTAAGGTAACGATATACTCAAGACCAAATATATGTACTATGTAGTTATACAGGTATATCACGTACGCTTTATTTCGCGTATTAAATGTACAAGAAATAAATGTGAGACAAAAATTTTAAAAGATCAAAAGAAGCGCTTAAGTCTAATGGCGGCGGCGACGACTGCGTGAACGTGATTTCCGCCGCCGATTACGTCTCGCCTTTGCCATGCGATGTTTACGACATTGACTACAGTCTGACACGCCGCCATCGTTGTCGTTCGCGGCCGTTGGCTAGAAACAGGAAGTAACAGAAATTAATGCAGAATACTGTATGTACACATTTATTATATGCCAATTAAAAATCGACCCTCCATCCACTTACCTGTCGCATTCTGTGCGATCTTCTTGCTGATGCGAGGCTTTCGGCGCTGGAGCTGAAGTTGGTCGCATCGTCAGACATGCCATCATAACAGCCGGCATCATGACGACCATATTTTCGGGTACTACCGCGCGTACTCGTGTTTTTCGCTTCCGACTGTGTGTTCATTTCAACGCCATTGCTACTTCCAATGGAGGTAGTTGAAGGTGGTGGTTCCGCACTTCCGGCCACCGCTTCTTGTGATGGGTTAAACTTCAACATATGTATGTATGTACCTGAAACTGTTTTACTTTTCCACAATAACATATATTGTTAAAACTCGAGTAATTTTGCGCTAAAAACTTTTGATTTGTATAAGCAAATATTAATTGAAATATAAGAAAAAATTTTATTTTATGTGTCACAATTTTGATGACCTACTATCTTAACGATAACTGTAGTATCTCACATGCATTTAAGCAAAGTGGTTATTGGAATGATCGCTTTTTATTGTTGTGCTTAACAATATCTTTCCCTCACATTGCCAAAGGCTCATTCATACATGCATACCTTAGCCTTAGCAAAACCAGATGTTATGATAACACCTTTTTTTTGGTAGCCTAGGGAGTGGGCCACAAGGTATATGTTGCTCACGGAATACGGCACCCTCTACATACCCAATCTACAACTCGCCGAACAAGCTATCCGGTCAGGCAGTATCGAGCTCGCAATATTTATTGTACATATTTACATGTAGGATCGATATCATAGAGAGGCGGCATCTTGGCCGGATCCCCGCATTAGGGATCTCAACTTAAGGAATCAGCAACTGTAAAACCAGCATCAGCGGAAAAGTGTCCAACCCCACGAAGCGCGATGGCAGAGTGGAAATCATATTTTTATGGGCCTCGTCGTTTAGAGGAAATGTTCCTTCTATTTTAGCCGGTAATTCGCACTACATCCCTCGGTAAAATAAATAAAAAAAGCGTCAGTTCAGGTACTCCTGAAATTTTAATGCGCAAGCATAATTATCCCGAATTTATAACGACAGTGTCCGAAACTGGGCCGTGAACTGTCGTCCCAGAGATGTTCCTTTCTACACACAAAAAGGAACTACAGATTTTCTGCTGGGATAGCGCAAATGTTACCCTTACCCAATGCTAAGATGTTCTCACATTAAAAATGTAAATTCTAGAAATTGCTCGGATCAGGGATCAAACCTGGTTCCTACTGAGTTTCAGTGCGCAGCTATAACCACTCGGCTACCACAGACGCCAAACTCAATTGCTTTGAATATTTAACGGTGACTGTTGCAAATGGTTAGCGTAGTTTTCCTTAATCAAAATTGATTAAAGCGCACTTGCGGTTACAGTCCGACCGATTAATTGAAGCATCGGCCGATTCTTTGCCGATTAAATCCTAAATATCATTTCATTTAAGAACAAATGCTTTTATAAATTTTTATAGGCTGCATTTCTTTGTTCATTCTGAACGTTTGGATAACATTTTTTTGTTTATTTATTCTTTAGAACGTTCCTGATGATATGTTGAAGAAAAGAAAACCATAATCAAGTAACTAAATAATAATACCTCATTCAAGAATCGGCCGAATCTTTTGGCCGATACTAGCCTTGGCATCGGCCGATTCATCGGTCGGACTCTACTTGCGGTAACAACGTCACAAACAAGATTAAGCAGTTTTGGGCTCGCTGTCCATCGAAAATCTAATGGGTTAAGGGGGGCCCTGCTTAAAGTGCGTGTCAGACTTGGCAATATATCCAACTTTTCCACACAATTGCTGTCAAATTGAGAAAGAGAAATTTTATTTCCATATGTGAACAGCCAGAAATACCTTTCTGTTACTTTTCGGAAATCAGTTTGCAAGGTGTGACTGCAACAGAAACCGCGCAAATCGATTTCGGAAATAAATTTCAACTTGCTCGTCCTGCACTAGCGATCTGCAGTTCGCCTTTCGGAAACAAAAAACCTCTTTCGAAAGACACTTTACATGCAAGGTGTGACTGTTCATGCAACTGCTTTGTGAAATTTGACAGCCTTTTCGAAATACATATATTGCCACGTCTGACACCCTCTTAAGAATATTTGCCGGTCAACTAGTTATCAATCGCATTTCTTTGAAAAACAATCTCGGGGACTATTACTTCTGTAGCCCTATCACTAAACTACTATTGGCTAAGCCCAGATACTTGAGTAAATATGTATTCATTAATAATCAAATATTTGCATAAACATAATTAGGTTACAAAAGTATTGATGTGAGTACACGAATGAAAACCTAAGGTTCAGTTAGTCTAGACTTAACACTTACGTAAGAAATCGTCAATGATTACTCAACTCGTCAACTTAGCCAGAAGCGAAAATATTTTGGTTTTGTATTTTCTTTTTCAGCTGATTGTCACTTTGCCTATAAGCCACATCAAATATTCCTAAACAAAAATATATTGCGTTGGCCAATATATTAGGTTACGTTACGTAATTAAGTCTAGACTAACTGAGCCTTTAGTATTGCAATGCAATTTAATCGATTGGAAATTGAATTATAAGGCTTCCCAGCAAAAAACACGATTNATGAGGCGGCCCTCGAGGGAAAAATTCTGCTGAAGATTTACGGGCTTTTCACCGTTGGCCAGGGGGAATAGCGCAATAGCGCAATAGCGATGGAACGATGGGCTGTATGGGCTTTACTTTTGCTGGATTTCAAGACGACGTCTCAATCGTGGTCACAAGGAAAAAGCTGGTCGAGGTATTGACGAAAGTGAAAATCTCTCGACTTTCTGTCTTATTATACTATACAGCTTTGCATACCGAGCAATGTTATATTTGGGCTGCTTGCAAACTACCTCGTCAGCCTCACAAATCGAATAAGCGGCAGTAAAACGAAACTTAGGAACGAACTTCCTAGCGGTACACGACAAATTAGGTAGATAGGATTAAATAATAATTGTCAAATCAAGGCAAACAGCGTCTGGAATAAACTTCTCTTGCGTTGAAGTCTCACTCTGACGGACAAGGTGTTCCTTTTACTAAATGGTTATGTCCCACAGTACACACAAACATACTACATATTAGGGATGTTGCGGATGCTCGGGATTAACATTGTTAATCAGTGCAGTTGCACAATATTCCAGGGACCGAAATTAACAGTTATTTTTTTAANTTAAACTTGGCCTAAAATTTTTAATTCCGAAATAAAAGTCCCTTACGGATAATAAATTAGTGATAGAACTTTTTAGAAAAGTATCGATACTAGTACTCATATAGAATAGTCTAAAGAAGAATCGATGCCACTACTCACACTTGCAAAAAAGTATCGATAATACGAGTACTTTCAAGTATTTTTGAAACACGAAAGTAAACAAAAATCAGAATGCTTTCTTTTTAAGACCTCTTCCTATTTGTAAATTAAATAAACACTGCTTTAAATAGTTGAAATGTGATCTAGCAAGCACTTTAAAAAGAATTTTTGAAATAAACTTGTAGAAACTTTACTTATACTAGTCTAAAGTAATCGTCTTTAGCAAAGAACGGGTTGGCTTTCCAAAACGGAACCAATCGAGATTTCAGCGAAAGTATTAGGAATTTCGTTATGAAACTTGGTGAGGATTTTGGGGGAGGCTTTCTCTACATGAATTGAACGCTCTCAGAATGTAGTTGGTAATAGTATTTAAGCTATTTGTTGTTAAATAATCTTCACTACCACCCCCAAATTTTTGAACAAAATGCCACATATTATATTTTGTGTGATATATTTTCAATGTTCACGTGCGTATTTTATACTTTTATGGCCTTATTCATAAAAAATAAAGTAGGTTTAAAGAGCTTTATAAACTGGCATTTTCATACATTTTTCAATTTATAAATCTTTTATAAAGATACTTTATTTTTTATGAATAAGGCCATTAATATATATATATATATATTAGTCTTGGGAAGTATCGAGTACTTTTGAGGATCGATTCTTTGGTATCGATACTTTTAAGGATCGGGTATTTTTCAGAGTACTGAGTACTTTCTTTAAATATACACTTGTTGGTAACATTTCAATGATTAGTGTAGAAATTAGTGTTGGGCAGTATCGATACTAAAAGTACTCAGAACTCGATTCTCAAAAAGATCGACAGCACCCGATTTTTAAAAGTATCCAAAATACTCAGTACTCACAAAAGAACTCGAAGAGTACTCAGAACATAAATGAACTCAAAAGTACTAAAAGTACTAAGTAGAAATTATTGTACTCAATTTGAAGTTTTAATAGTTTTCAAGTAGCCATTCATTTGACTTAATTTGGGATTAATATATTAATTTAAATAAAGTGCTGCCAGCTAGTGAGATTTGTACTAGTGTTGGGAAATAACGAACCAAATTCATTTAACTGACCCACGGTTTTGTTCTATGGTAATTTATTAACATTTTTATTGAAATACTTTCCAATAGGTGTATTTCCTCGTTAAGACATTTCAGTTTTAAAGCTATTTAAATTCATTTCATTTGATACCAAACTTATTTTATTTGGATAAGCAGTTTGTTTATTATCCGGAAAGGACTTTTATTTCGGAATAAAAAATATTTGGCCAAGTTTAACTCGTAGAAAAAACTAATTGTTATCTACGGTCCCTTCAATATTCGCATTCGCAAAAGATCCGCATTGATTATTGCGAATGTGAATGTTAAAATTAATGCGGAAGCTCCACGGCTGCGAATGCGAATGCGAATATTCGCACCAACTCGGCTACATATGTACTACATCCGTGATAATTCTGCAGTCTTTCTACGCCGTGTTTAAAAGGAACTGAATGTATTCTGGGTCGTTATTTTTATACGTGATTTTGTAGATGACTATCTCTTTCTATGTAGCTTTAGACTGGCTTTTCATACAGTCGTATATTTCATTGTGTAAGTGTTTAAGGGGTATTTACCAAAAGCTCAGATTGGATTGAGTAGCTAAGTGCTTAGCTGCTAAAAATGCATGAGCGCCAATCAAAAGTGCTGAATCGTCTTTTTAGTCACTGTTACTAATATACATGAACACACGTACATATGTAAGTATGTATATGTATGCACATATCCTCCCAATAAACACAGTTTCAAACGTTTGAAAAAAATTTATTTATTTATCCATTTGATATCAAATGTTTTTCTCAAATGATTCTTTAATTGAAAGCGATGTTTACATTCTGCATTTGAAATTCAGGAGTTTAATTTGAAGGAACATGTTAACGTTATAATTATCGATACAGTTTGCTATAATTTGATAAGTGTAAAGTGTTAAATAAAAATGTGTAAAAAAATCTCTTAAAGTTCACAATAATGCCGTTGTTAATTAAAAAAACCCCGATGTTATTTGATGTTTGCGTGGGGTGAAAATAGCCAGCCAAAACTCCCAGGTGCAGCCCTTCAAGATGATTATTAGTGATTAAAATATACGTTCCTATAATAAAGTTTGTTTCCACATTTGAAAAACCATTTAATAAATAACCTTTGAAATTTATTGAGAAAGCTGTAATTTTGAAATCAATCAGGCAGGTTCCTCAATTCACTTCCGAGTGAATATCAATCAAACTCGC